CATGCCAGCTGCAGGGGATAACTGGAACTCACAGGAGAGAGGGACGCTAGGTGGCAGGGTTCTGTGTGGGAGGAGGCCCCGAGGCACCTCTGTCCCAGCCTGGCGGAAGCCACACAGGGAAATGCAAACTTAGCCCAGTTGTCTCCGCTCTCGTTTTCTTTCCGACCCTTCTCTTCCCTTATTTTCATGAAGCCCCTTCAGGTGCCCGGTGCCTTCCCCCTCCCAGCTGTCTCCAGTTCTTTGTACTTGTTGGATGATGGATTACGCTTTGTTGGGAATCCAAATGAACAGGTTTCGTATATTAAAGCTTTCTGCTTTGAATTACGGAGTGAACAGCTGCTTTTCCCAGTTTAGGGCATTCCAACAAATTAGGGCAGAGGTCCTTTCACGGGTGGAGGGGCCCCTGAGGTAACCCTAGGCTTCACTAGCCGACCCGGAGGGTAAAGCTGAGCAGGCCTCAGGACTGAGACACACTGGGACCACCAGTGTCTACCTGGGAGACCTTCAGGACTGGCATCCCTTGTCTTACAAACCCTACGTTCTTCTCTGATATAATGGAATGTAACCTATTTTCATCACAAGCATCTATTAAACATATTTGGACTAGCATCAGAAAGGTCTGTGATTTCTTTAAAGAAAGAAATCTAGTAAAATCTAGGGATTCTGTTGTTAAGTGTTGCCCACCGAGAGCTAAACAAAGCTCTCATGGCTTTGGGAGCACCTGCTGTCTTTGCTGGGTACGCACTGTGAGGAACTTTCCATCCCACTGGACATGTGTGGTGGTGAGTCGTTTTCACCAATAGCAGATGAATTGGGGCTGTTTACCCTCTCGGTTTGTCAAATGGTTGATTTAAGCCATAGGAACAAGCCTGGCTGGTCTACAAATAGATTAGACTCATCAGCTTCCTCTTGCTAAAAATACGAAGGCAGATTTTTCACAACTCTTTTCAGTAACCATTGTAAAATGTATTGGAATGAGACATGCTTTACTTTTTTTGTATGCAGGCAGACAGTTCAACTGTATTTCCAGTAATTACCTTCTATCATGAGAACAGGCTTCATCAAACATTTACAAGAAGGAGCCAAGTGTTTAGGAAGCTATTGGAATCGCTAACCGCGCATGCTTTACTATGTAGCCTTTTTCCAGAGGTTCCCCTGGGTTTTTGAAGACATTGCCTGGCCAACAGTCCATAGTCAACTCATTCTTGAGGGCGAGGGAAGAGTTATCCTCCCATCTTCCCCCACCCTGGCCTTGGCTTCTCCCTCCTCTGCTTCCCCAGAAGTTTATTCATTGTTTAATGGTGTCCCTCTGTCTCCTGCATTTGAACTCAAGGGCGGGGACTGTCCCATTTATCTGTCGTACGCCCTCGAGCACCCCGGCACAGGGCCTTGCATATAGCAACCACCCAATACATTTCAACTCTGCCAACTACAGTACTGCAACTAAATAACAGGCCGTGTACCATGTCCTGACCACCCTGAACTGCAATTTGTCAGCGCAGTTATAACATCAAGGTGATAAATAATCCGTGCAAGTACTCTCTCTCCCCTGAGAGTTGCTCATGGAAACAAAACAAAACAAAACAAAACAAAACCAACTGATGTTAGGTATTTTGTTTACGGCTAGAGACAAGCTGGGCTAAGCTCGTGTTTTATTGTGTCATCAATTAATACCAACCCTTGGTTTTAACATTCAAATTTGAACCATTAAGCAAAACCACCTGCCAACTTGAAACAAGCACCATGGTGGAGGAGGCAGAAGAAAGTGATGGATTTTCACGCACAGAACCACCGTGTCGTTCCCCTACTGCGTTCGAAGTAACTGACTCACAGGTAACTCTCTACGAAGTAGGTGAAATTCAACCTCGTTTTAATATCTACTCCACAGACTAGCGATAGGATTTTGTGGCCTTAACAAAATCTACAGATCTTGGGGCGATAGGTGATTTTTATTTGTACTCTCTCAGACTTTGTTCTTCTCTGTCTACATGGACAACTAAAAATGCATTTTACACTGGTCTCTCTACTCATCTCGGTTCCTGAGAGTCAAAAGAGCACTCATCTAGGACAATGAACTATAAAAACATAATGCATTATTTACAGCTGTTTTTCAAAAGGAGAGTCCTTTTTAAAAATCAAGACAGATGACATTGAGTTTCAGTTTCTCACATGATGGACCATCCCGTGGGCAAGATGGGCCACGAGTCAAGAAAACTGCTCAAAAAGTTGACACTGAATCACCAGCCCCTAAAAGACTGTGGAGGATTGTAGTGTAGAACACCGGATTGTCCTCGTCACACTGTCTAAAATCCTACTGATTAGAGAAAAACCTTAGAAGCATACTGGAAAACTAGAGCTGGGAAAGCACACTGGAAAACTAATGAAAGGCAAGAGCTATAAACCACACAAAGACATCTTGCAAACTCCTACCTTTAACCCCGAAACTACGCTACTGAACAAGGGCTCTTTTGTTGATACTACAGCGGACACGCACACATGCCGGAGCGAATATAAATATGAAAGCGCACAGAAGTAGCCACAAAAGCCCATGGCAAACAAAACTGTTTTTTCTTACTCATCCTTGAGCATGTTTCCCGAGACCACTCCCAATACCGTGCCCTCTAGCAGTCAGAAAAACAGATGGAAATCAGGCATTTTGTTTTTAATTTTTAAAATTTATTTTTTCTTTAAATTTTTATTGTTATGTTAATCACCATACATTACATCATTAGTTTTTGATGTAGTGTTCCATGATTCATTGTTTGTGCATAACACTCAGTGCTCCATGCAGAACGTGCCCTCTTTAATACCCATCACCAGGCTAACCCATCCCCCCACCCCCTCCCCTCTAGAACCCTCAGTTTGTTTTTCAGAGTCTATGGTCTCTCGTGGTTCATCTCCCCCTCCGATTCACCCCCCTTCATTCTTCCCCTCCTGCTATCTTCTTTTTCTTAATATATATTGCATTATTTGTTTCAGAGGTACAGATGTGATTTAACAGTCTTGCACAATTCACAGCGCTCACCATAGCACACACCCTCCCCAAAGTCTAAAATTTATTTTTTAAAAAAGATTTTATTATTTGTCAGAGAGAAAGAGCGCACAAGCAGGGGGAGTGGCAGGCAGAGGGAGAAGCAGGCTCCCTGCTGAGCAAGGAGCCCCTTGTGGGACTAGATCCCAGGACCCTGGGATCATGACTTGAGCCAGAGGCAGATGCTTAACTGACTGAGCCACCCTGGCGTCCCCAGGCATTTTTAAACAGGGATTCACCATAGGAAACTGGCCACATCATTTTTTTTTTCAAACTTCATTTAAAAAAATTTTTTTAATTTAATGCTCAACTTTTATTTTTTAAATTTAAATTCATTCAATTTATAGTGTATTATCAGTTTCAGAGGTAGAGTTTAGTGATTCATCAGTTGCAATAATACCCAGTCCTCATTACATCAAGGGCCCTTTTTAATGTCCATCACCCAGTTACCCCATCCCCCCACCCCCCTCCCCTCCATGAATGGATAAAGATGTGGTATATATATATACAGTAGAATATTACTCAGCCATCAGAAAACAAAATCTTATCATTTGCAACAACGTGGATGGAACTATGCAAGGTGTTATGCTAAGCAAAATAAGTCACAGAAATACAATTATCACATGATCTCACTCATATTGGAATTTAAGAAACAAAACAGAGGATCATAGGGGAAGGGAGGGAAAAATAAGACGAAATCAGAGATGGAGACAAACCGTAAGAGACTCTTAACTATAGCAGCCACATCATTGTTCAAATGCTAACCCAACAAAGAGGGAACGCTGAGGTAGTCCCTGACAGACAACTGAAGGAGGCAGATTCTGTCAGCGCTGAGGGCAGCAAAAAAGAAGAGTGAGTGTCACCCAAACTTTGGAGCTCAGAGAAAGGTCTCCTACCGACCTGGCCCAAGCTTCTGAGGGCGCTGCCAGCCTGGCAGGTGCTGATGCTGAGCAGGGGCAGGACCGCTGGGCAGACGGACATCTGAGGAGGGGGTCAGCAGGGGCTGGGGACCGGCAGGCAGGACACCAACCCACCCCAAGGCTGCTGCTGGTATGTGCGGTGCCGGGAGCTGGGGGCTGACAGCAACAGGAAAATGGCAAGCAAATCCCTCCTCTCTCCTTCCCAGTCCTTCAAGTCTCTCCCATCAGTTGGTTTAAGAGGAACAGGAGGGTCTGGTGAATGGTCCAGGGTCCCAGCCCCGCATCAGAGAGCAGAGCCACAAGGGAAGGTGTGGCAGTAACAGGTCACTAATTCACACAACCTGTGACTGACCGTTGGGACGGTAAAAGGTACAAACGAGAACATTTTCTTGAGGACAGTATATAAATAAATATTTAATTGTAAAGTGTACAGTTAAGTGACACTAAGCACATTCACATTGTATATAACCATCACCACCATCCACTGCCAGCACTTTTTCATCTTCCCAAACTAAAATTGCCCCTACTCCCAGCCCCTGACAACCACCATTCCACTTTGTCTATGAATTGGACTACCCTAGGTCCCTCATATAATTGGAATCTCGTCGTTTGTGCTTGGCTTACTGCATTTAGCAGAATGTCCTCCGGGTTAGTCCACGTTGTGGCATGGGGTCAGAATTTCCTCTAAGGTTGAATAATACTCCACGGTACGCACAGACCACTTCGGTTTACCCACTGATCTGTTGATGGACAGCTGGTGTGTTTCCCCTTCCGGCTATTGTGAATGATGCTCTGAACACCGGTATATGAGTATCTGTTTGGGTCCGTGCTTTCTATTTTTATTTTGGTATGTACCTCCAGGCGGGATTTCTGGGTCATACTGTAGTTCTGTTTAACCTTTTGAGAAGCAGCCTGGCTGTTTTCCATAGTGGAGGATGCTGTATTTTTCTTATCTAAAATGCTCAAAAGATTAAGTAAGATGCAGAGTTTCTGAAAAATACTGTCAGATGTACAATTTGTAATTACACAAATAAATGTGGCAACTCTACTGTCATTCATAAATACAAAATTTTATTTGCACTTCATTAGTGTAGAAAGACCACAATGCTTTTCATATCACGACACTCAAGACACGCCGTTATTCAAATACATAATTACTTATTTACCTGGACTAAACAAAACAGTGCAGTTTAATAAAAGATATACCAAAGATAGAGTTCACAAATTCATTATCAGACCAAAAAAAAAAAAAAAAAAGAAAAGAACACAGTCTAGGCTTAATAGGAATAAGCTTCACCATAAAGGGGAGAAGTTTTATCATTACAAAGGTATAGTATGTTTAGGTAAATACATGTATGTTCTTTGATATAGTAAAATGTATCTCTTTAAAATTCCTTTAAACAGGATTTGTTTAGGACAGCAGCGTTGTTTTAAAATCTTATATAGTTTCAAAAACACTTCTTTCTTTACTGAATCTTTGTAGTTCTTAAAAGCACAGGGTATGTCCATTAGGAAACCATGAGAGAGATTCTGCAGCCTCAGGACCAAGTCAAACCCCTACTCTCTACCTAGTAGTACTCTACCATGACATAACATTAATAAATACCCTTCAAAGACAGCTATGAACGGAGCTTTGCTTTGTGGCAGAAAATACTCCCATACTTCAGAGATGCTACGGCTGGGGGAAATGTCTTGTAAATAGAGAAAAAGCACTTTATGATAGCTTTATCTTTTTTCCCAAAGAGTCTTTAGTTTTACAAATTTTCTTTAAAACAGTAAGCAAAGCACCACTTTCTTCTTATCAGAATATCTTCTGTCCTCATAATATAATTAACGAGGACAATTACGTTATTTATTTCAAGAAACATTATACCTTTCATTTCTCCCATTCTTCATATTAGAAGTACTATGTTTCCCAGTGTATGTACACTAGATGCTGGGATAATGAATGAAATATAATAATTTGGAGGGAAATATGTAATTTATAACCAAAACTTACCCAAGATTGCATATTTGCATATTTACAAGTTAGTGTATAGCTCTGACTTGGATTACAAAGTGCGAAAGGAAATTGTCAAAATGATTGTAGTGCAGAAGAGAACATTTTCCCCTTTCCAGGAATCATTTCCACTTTGTCTCCAAAGTAGCAAATCAACAGCATCGAACGTGTGGTCTTGGTGGAGGCAGTTCTGGTGGGATCTCAGGTTCCGGTTGTAATGAGAGGATGCTATTGGACAACTCATTCCTTAAAATATCCAGAGGCATCTTAAGGATAAAGGAAAAAAAAAACACATACATTTAACCATGCAATGTATATGGAAGTGCTCTGCAGATAACACAATTATATATGAGCAAAGTATTTTTACATAAAGATTTCCAATCATCAACGTTTAATTAGATGTTCAAACATTAAGCCAGAACAATGAAAACCAGATTCAGGGCATTCTGTGTCACACACAAACACCAGCCAAGTGTGCATCATACCCTATGGTAAAAGAAACCAGATGGATCTATCTCATTAACATGTATTTTCACAGAACCTAGTAATAATGGAAATTTAATGCATTAATACAGGGGGGAAAAATGGTTCTGCATTCTCAGGGGTAATAGCATCACTAAGGGAAGAAATAACTTAGCAATTATATAAAGGATCATTTTATTAGAAGCTTCTGAATTGTTTGAATTAGCAGATTATATGTAGTAATGAATTAGATTATATGTAGTAATAACATAAACTTAAGGAAAGGTCTTATTAAAAAAAAAACTTTTTAATAAGACCGCCTGGGTGGCTCAGTTCTTAAGGATCTGCCTTCGGCTCAGGTCATGATCCCAGGGTCCTGGGATCGAGCCCCGCATCGGGCTCCCTGCTCTGCGGGAAGCCTGCTTCTCCCTCTCCCACTCCCCCTGCTTGTGTCCCTCTCTCGCTGTGTCTCTCTCTGTCAAATAAATAAATAAAATCTTAAAAAAAAATAAATAAAATAAAAAAACCCTTTGAATTTAAGCCTACAGATGCTTGAAGAAACTGCTGTCCAACAAAGCTGTCCAGCAATTTTCCTGCAACTGAGCATCACGGAAAGGCCTGGGGAAGGGAACCAGACCCCGTTGGGGAGCACCGCACTGAGGGCGAAGCAGGGCCCAGGGGCTCCCTCCTCAATGAGAACACCTGCATGCTCCACGCGGTCCCCACCACCTGTATTTATCTTAATTCTTGTGGGAAAATGGGAAAAGAACAAAAGCAAATGTCAAATCAACATGGCCGGTGGTTATACCTGCTCCAGTCACTTCACCAAACCATCTTCAGGGCTCAGCACATCTACTGGACACCAACACTGGACATGGAGAGGCCCCGGGCAGACACAGAGGCCGCCACAGCGGAGGCTTCTGGCCACGGCAGCCACCGCACCTGGTTCACCTCTGAGTAAGTACCCTGCCCACTTTCTAAGTAAAACATTCTCAACCAAAACATCATAAAGTGAACAACGGGTTTTCACATATTTGCCTGGTGTCATTATTTTACCTTTTTCAGAATGTCATCAACAAGCTTCAGAAATATCTCGTCCACGTTGAAGTTGTCCTTGGCACTCGCTTCACAGAACCGCATCCCGGTTATCTGCTGTGCGAACTAAGGACACAGATTCATGTTTTCTGTGGGGGTGCTACCTGGTGGAGCAGGTGGCCAGCGGGCCTGTGACTGAGGGAATCACAGCATTTGGGCCTCTGCTCGAAGGGAGGGGTGGGCCAGGTTTGTGAAGCCCCATGTAGGCTCAAACACAGAGTTCATGTGCGCGGCAAACCCCTACGTGGTAAGTAGGCACATGGGGCAAACCATGGCATGGAGAGTAAGTGACAACACGAAACAAAATCCCCGAGGTGACGTGTGGGTCGGGAAGTTCAACTTTCCCAAAATTGTAATGCATCTGACATTTACAACGTGAATATCACAGATTCTCCACGGAAGGTAACAATACTCCAGAGCAAATCATGGAAGCAATTTTACGGCTTAAAACACATTTCTCTGTAGGGAATTTCGGGTTAGAGAATAATGCGGTATATGCTGATATACTGATGTGGACGCTCCCCCACTCCGTTTCGAAATGCTTTTTAAAACTTCCTGCTCCTTTAAATCCAAACAAATGAGAAGGATGTGACTCTATAATTATTTCATAATTAAAAAAGTCTCACAATGGTGGACTGCACAGTATGTGGACAGTGACATCCCTTCTGCTCCCCATTTCTCTCACCTTTTCACCTTGCTGCCTGGTGATTTCTCGGTCAGTTTCACAGTCCAACTTATTTCCAACTAAGAGAAGTTCTGCATCTTCTGAAGCATACTGTGGAATTTTAAAAGAAGCTGCATATCAAAGGTGGGCACTGTCATATCCTGACAGGAAACGTAAACCACTCTGTTGCTTTGTGATCACTGTGTGTTCATCCACTCCGCACATCTCAGCATCGGCCCTATCCCAGGCAGGACCGACTCAGGTGGGGTCTGAGACAGTCCTCACGGGGCTCAGGGCTTTAGAGAGCGATGCGGTAACATGCGTTATGAACCCACAACATTCTGGGCCTTTCACCAATAATTTCTAAGAATCTATACTAAAGCAAATGAATTACATCACCGGCAAAGCCCTATACTTAAGATGGTCATCCACTGAAGAAAGTCCAACAAAATAGATGGAGAATGAAGTAAGTTAAGGTACCTAAAAAGAATGCAGCCATTAAAAAAAAACCCAAACCACCCATGCTTTAGAAGAACATTCACATGACACAAGAAGGCTGGCATGACAGAACACTCAGTGAAGCAGGCAGGCTCTAAAACTACATGGACTATGGATTGAATTTGGTTCTTCAGAACAGCAAAAGTATACATTTTTAAATTTACTTTTGTTATTGATTTTCCAAATTTTCTATCATGACAAGATATTATTAATCTTATAATCAGGAAAAAAGTTAAGCTACATTTCTAAGTTTAAAAAAAAAATGTAGCCACAGTAGGATCTCTCCTCAAAAAGACTAAACTCTCTTGAATAACTCATTTAATTCTGTGTATTCTAAACAATGACTTGAGACAGGCTGCAGCAAAAGGCACCTGAATGGTGTGACCTTGGCCAAGTTACTCAAAGGTCTCAGTCTCCTTGTGTGTGTGGAGTATGGTAGCAGAACAGCGCCCACCATCGAGGCTGCTGCAGAACAAGCATGGGAAGTGCTGGAGCAATGAGAGCACTTATTCACAAAAAGGTAAAGAGCAAAAGTATAAAAGCGGGGAGAGCGTTAGATCTCAAGACCTCAGGAGATCCACAAAGTGAGTACTTCACGGGGCCCTGAGGCTTGAGGCCATGGCTTTTTGGACTACAGGATTAATCCAGGTTCTCACAGGAAAACACAACTTACCTTATCAATCATCTTCATCCATTTTGGCAAATCATCAAAAGTCTCCTTCTTAGTGATGTCATATACTAGTATGATCCCCTTGGCACTTCTGTAATAAGCTGAGGTAATGCTGTTGAATCTCTCCTGACCTGCTGTGTCCCTATGAAACAGCAGCAACAATCAGCTCCCAAACAGTAACCAGAGGGAGCAACTCCACCTTCCAACACGGAGAGGAGTGGAGGCCCCACCCAGCCCCCTACAGGGGGCTTCTAGTCCTATCCATGCATATGCATCAGTATTAGTGTGTGTGGGGGGGAGGTAGTTTTTCTGAGTTACTTTCAGACAAAAACAGTCCCAATTTCTCTCAAACCAAGATTTTGAAAATAAGAAAACCATGTGTAAAATGATGGAAAGTGTAAAATCCTGTGCAAACTTTTTTTTTTTAGAAAGTAATCTCTATGCCCCATGTGGGGCTTGAACTCACAACCCCAAGTTCAAGAGTTGCATGTTCTACCAACTGAGCCAGCCAGGCACAACCCCTTCAAACTCCCTTTTAACCAACATCAATGGTTACATCTGATTTTGTTGAGAAGATGACCAAGAGTTGCTGGCTAATGAAAAGTACTGTAAATCCAGTCTTATTTTCTTAATCCTTCTAAAATAGAAAAGGGGTCAAAGGGGGCAGGGAGAAGATACCAAATAGGTTTCCAAATGCGGTAAAGTTCATTATTGTCTGACTGCTACTTTAAAAGCCGGAAGTTGGGGGCGCCTGGGTGGCTCAGATGGTTAAGCGTCTGACTTCGGCTTGGGTCATGATCCCGGGGTCTTGGGATCAAGCCCCACATAAGGCTCCTGGCTCAGCGGGGAGCCTGCTTCTCCCTCTCCCTCTCCCCCTACTCATGCTCTTTCTCTCTGTATCTCTGTGTCTCAAATGAATAAATAAAATCTTAAAAAAAAAAAAAAAGCCAGAATATTCTCCAGGCTGAAGTCGATCATTTCAACATGAAGAATGATGTAAGCTTACTAATAGTGTACAGCATCTGGTTGAGACATTATTTTCTCCAGCTAATAAGCCAAGAAACTGCTGAAAACCATCGTGTATTTATGAATGAGCTCAACGGAGCAGGGCTTCTGACCTGGAGACAAATTCCTCTAAAGATAATGTAATTTAGCTCTTCCCAAAGAACCCAAATTCACAGCATACCCCCGGAGGCCACGTGAGACAGGTGGGTCCTGCAGTAACATTGCCAGGGGGCAATGCAGTGAAAATAGGTTTCTTCACTGCAAGGCCATTCAAGGCCTCCCAAAATGAGAGCATGTGGGTTTCCGAGAGGTGGAGAGAACAGGCAGCTTTTCCCAAATGCATCTGATCAAAGACTACTTCCCTTGAGGTGCACTCTGTGGGGCAGTATCCCTAAAATACCCTTCCCTTAGGCAAGAGGTGTTGTAATTTACAGCTTCATTTAGACTGGCCTTGCCACCAAATTAGTTCACATTAGCGATGGCATTGTTAGGCCAAATAAACAAAAAAGCTTGCTGGCAAATTCATTTTCACATAAAGCAAAGCCATTTGCTTTGTTCCAGAGGATGTAAGAATGCCTTGAGGCTTCTGACTGGAAGGCCCAAGAGGGCCAAGGCTGGTCTGTTTCTGTCCACCAGGGTCCAGCAGGGTGCCTGGCCCATAGCAGGCTGTCAATAAGCAGGTGCTGAACAAAAGTTTACATGCTTAAAATGTGGGAGCGGATGCCACTTCAAGGCAAAATAAACTTTTTGACCTAGAAATGCCAAAAAACTGGAAAATGGAATAGGATAGATGGGAACTGAATTCTTCAAGATTCTTGAAAAACCTTAAAGACCACACTGATGGGCACTGCACCTTCAAGGTTAGTGAGAAGGAACAGATTCAGATACCATTTACACAAGGAATCAATGAATAAAATTATTTCTGGAATCCTAGGCATTCAGGGGTATAATTAATCTTTTTTTTTTGAGGGGGGAGGGGCAGAGGGAGAGGGAGACAGAGAATCTTAAGCAGGTTCCATGTCCAGCGTGTGGAGCTTGACGCTGGGCTCGATCCCAGGACCCTAAGATCATGACCTGAGCCAAAATCAAGAGTCGGATGCTTAACCAACTGAGCCACCCCGGCCCCCCTACAATTAATGCTTTTGAATCAATAAAGAGTTAAATCTTTCAGAGCATGGTTTCCCAGTCTATCACAAGTTATGGCTTGATCGAATTAGGAGCTGATCAAATATTTTTAATGTTTTAAAAAATATGCTGTGTTGTTTGGATACTGTTAAGAAACAGTATCTCATTTCTTTAAAAAGTCAAGAAAACTACATCTTTTTCTACTGTGAAATCTTTGGTTAGCACAATCTTTAACAATTTAATAGAATAAGTTTTTTTTTTTAAAGATTTATTTATTTGAGAGAGAGAATGAGATAGAGAGCGCAAGCATGAGATGGGGGGAGGGTCAGAGGGAGAAGCAGACTCCCTGCTGAGCAGGGAGCCTGATGCGGGACTGGATCCTGGGACTCCAGGATCATGACCTGAGTCGAAGGCAGTCACTTAACCAACTGAGCCACCCAGGAGCCCTAGAATAAGCTTTTATTCTAAGCAACTTTAATCTGACTACTTAGTGTAACTCAACTGACAATTTCTGCACACAAAGAATTAGAATCTAGACACTGGGAGCTCAAAAACAGTGAAATTAGAGGTTAACGGTTTTTTAAATAATTAATTTAGAGATTTTATTTATTTATTTGAGAGAAAGAGAGAAACAGCATGAGAGGGGAGAGGGTCAGAGGAAGAAGTAGGCTCCCCGCTGAGCAGGGAGCCCGATTCGAGACTTGATCCCAGGACCCTGGGATCATGACCCGAGCTGAGGGCAGCCACTTAACCGACTGAGCCACCCAGGTGCCCCTAATTTTAAATGCTTTTATTTATTGTGGTAAGAAGACCTGACATGAAACCTACTCTTTTTTAACAGGGTTTTGGGTGTAAAATAATGTTATGTATAGGCACAATGTTGTACAGATTTCTAGAATAAAAAATAAATAATAAAAAAGCCAACAGTTGAAGAACAGAGAGAATAAAGGGCATTTCTCATAAAGTTAAACACACCTGTTGCCTGGGTGACACAGTGAGGAATCTTAAAAACATTAAGAAATTAACTGTCTCTGTTGGCTTTCACTCAGACAGAGAAGACAGACCTCAAGATGCAAAATCTGAGGCAATCATTCTAATACAAATAAATGAGCCAGTAAGTCCAGTTTACAAAAACCCCAGTGAGGAAACAATCAATTTGCCACTCTTACTTAAGGTCATTCCTTAAATTCCGACTTTTTGTGTCTAGCTCTGAATGCTTGAGGTAGAAAAACATCTTCCTTTGAGAGACTATTCTCTATTTCTATTCCTCTGGAGCTCCTTTGCTTAACTTGTTTCCCCTACTAAATTATCTGCTACCACATACGGTCAAAGAACAGGGAAATGAAATGCAGACCCAGTTCGGTGAGTATTTATGACAGATCTCCTATGCACCAGTACCATAAAAGTCCCACCCAAGTTCCTACTTCTCAAAAATTAGCTGCTAAGACGACACCAATGCACTGATCGTGCTTCTTTCTGTGAAGATGCAGAATCCTAATATTTCCTCTCTTTATCTCCATAAACCCGAGTTTTCACTGTCATGATAAAGAGCTGATTTCTCGAGATCTGCAGTGTATTAATGTCAGCTAAATTGTCATTTGCTGCGGCTAGAATATGAGGTGATTATTTCTCTCTCTGCTTTTTGGTGCAAACTGAAAAATTCCTGCAATTCTGTTTCCCCAGTTTCGTAATAAGACCATGCTTTGAAAACTCAAAGATTCTTACTTGTATTTAATATATCCACTTAAAGATATAATTATTAATTTGCAGGGCAGGAGCCAATTTCTGTATATGAAATGTCCCACTTCTTCCAAGCAGAGAATGAAAAATGAGCCCGATGTCGACATAAGAATGCTGGCTAAAACCGTAAAACTTCCCCCACAGGGAAGACTGGTGTGGTGGACGGGACGAAGGGGTCCCTATATGATGCATGTTAACTCCCTGTGTTTAATCTTCAGGACAGCATCTGAATGTCAATTCATGAAGCTATATTCTAGCTGACACACTTTATTTTAGCTACACTTACATAAAGGTCTTATACACATACACGAAGAAACGCTTTTAAGTACAGAGATGAGAAAATGGTCCTTTTTTCCGACCACAGATAATCAAGGGACTGAAAAATGTGGCAATGATATAAAATGTAGCATAGAAGTGTGACAATGCCATCTGGAGCTTTTGGTACCTTAAACTTTTAGGAACCTCTGGTTAGTATTTCCGCAGATTAGCTATATACAGAAATCATCAAGAAAAAAAATGCATTTCTTCTAATCAGATCTCTGTGAAAACCACCTGGGAATGTCCGTGGACTAACATTCTAGAAAATCAGAGCACAGCTATTCTTAGCAGAGCAAGGCTACTGAGGCTCTTTGAAGAGCCCTCTCCAACTATACTGGCTCTTTCTGGGCCCTCAACTCTGACAGCAAAGTGGTGACAGCGTGCTTGCAACAAAGCAGACTACAGCAACAGCATGAGCGCGGCTTCTAACTCTGAAATGAGTCGTGAATTACTTTAAGTAGCGAGCCTCCACTCCCATACTTCCTTTCTATCCACTGCATAAAAAAAATGAAGGAGATGTTTAACCCTCTACACAAAACCCTTCGGATGACAACAATCTTACCTTGGAGTATTGTGTGATTAACAAGTGGTGGGCATTTTGTGGACGTGTTATCCACTGCCGAAAACCCCTTTGGGAAAACTTAAGTGCTCCTTTCTCACCGAATCACTGGGATGTTTCTGGTGGAAAACCTGTAATCAACCTTTCAATACAGTCCCTGAATCTCGTTTTCTTTCCTCAGTTGTATTCTTCACAACAGTCAAGGAGAAGCAGAGGAGTTACGCTGGGGAGTGCATTTACATCCAAGAGAGACGCGGTTGTGGAGCGTCCTGTGCACCAGCATACTTTTCCCCACAGGGTGGGACTCACAGGGGAGGCCCTCTCAGATAGACTCACAGGCACTGTCCTGAGATTCCAGAAATATCCAATGTCACTGGCACAGACAGCCTTCGTGGGCTGAGTTCCAGGGAGCCACAGGACATCTGGACATACTTTTTATAGGTCCGATTACTACTGCCTGAGATGAAAACTGAAGTGTGAATACAGTCACTAAAGTATGTCTGCTTAGCCAGGCTATGATGTCATCACCTAGACACTGCTGTCATTCACTAAGCAAGCTCCACAGACAGTCTAATGTGTGCTCGATCACCCTCTGTTCAGTAATCCCCTTCACAAAGGATCTCACCCACAGGCGCTAGGTAGAGATGAACAACCCCCAAGATCCTTCTAAAGATGGTCCTGGGAGAGCTGACAATCAGAAACACCAGCTCATGTGAAAGGTACTCCCTTGTCACTTCCAGAGTTCAAAAAATGGGCCGCAACGTACCAAAGTTTGCGGACTTTCCAAAAAAGGACTAATAAAATAAAAAATACCCATTTTTTGGTCATTAAGTATTTAGACAAGACTGTTTATGTTTCATAATCAAACCAAAAGCCAAAACCCCCAAACCCTCAAACCGTCTTTACAGTGGGTTACATAGCAGCAGGTGACCAAACGAAGACATTACCTCAGACACCTCCGGGAGGCAGCAATGCCGGCTCGCTGCAGCCGTGCCCACACAGGGGCGCGGGTGAAGAATGAAGGCATGGCACTAACACTCAAGCACTAGGTGACCGATGATGCCACAGATGAGGAGCAAGTAACGCAGATGAAAGCAAACACACACACGGTGGACAAACACTCAGAGCTGAGGTGGACCTGCAGAGGAGTTAGTAGGCTGAGTACACGGCAGCTGGGATGTTACCAACAAAAGGGCATTCTCGGAGCCCCTCAGCGGTGCCACGTGGAAGCCACCACCAGATCGGCTCCGCACCCCGCAGGTGGGATTCCTAGGGCCGCCTGCAGGCTGCTGGGAGCCCATGGAAATCTCCTCGCGCCAGATAGCTACGACAGGGCTGGTTTAGCTGCTCATTCGCGATGATGTGAGAACGGGGCTTCTCCTCAGAGAGCAGCTCTGGATTCATTCCCAGCTGGCACAGGTGGGGCTCACGTCACGCAGCATGAGCCCCGTGGCCAGCGGGAGCATGCGCACCCCACCGCGGTGCTCCCGCTATGCCACCCCGGGCAGCCCCCGAACTGGCTGTGAGTGATCTGCCTCGAAACTGCATAGATCTGGTCAGGAACATGCTGCTTTTTTTTTTTTTTTTTTTTTTTTTTGCATACTATCAAACAAAATCACTTTAAAAACGTGAAGACAAAGCATTTGAGCAATCATCTTAGTGATGACAATTTGGCTATTATGTCAAATGATTGGAAAAAAGGCAACAAGGCTCCAAATTAGCTATTATTAAAGTAACATTCTTCTTTCACCACTCCCCATATGCAAATGGAGGATGAAATCAGTAGACTTTTCTAAATTTTCTCACTGTTCATTTTATTTAAAGATGAGCAAAGGAGAGGAAAAGTAGGAGAGGCAAGCCAGCTTGGGCAGTTAATTTTATTAGACAGGCGTACGGACTGTGAACACACACGGCGGTTACTGGGGGCAGATCCCCCACTTACCAGATCTGTAATCTGATTTTCTTTCCTCTTAGCTCTACAGTTTTGATTTTAAAGTCAACACCTGCAAATAAAACAAATGAAAGTGAACAAAAAATAAAGATGCATTTTGCCATAAAAAAGAATCCTATTTGTACATTTTGTATCATTATCAGAAAAACAAAAAACCTGATGTCACTAAATCCCAAAAGGAAAAGCAGTCCACCAATGCCTGTGACGCTCAGTCTACACGTCCATAAAGAACTGTACGAAGTCAACCTACGCGATGTTTTACCCCAAACTACCTACGTAGCATTTGCTAAATGTAATATGTAATGTAATGTAATACAAGTTCAGCATAAAAGCCATTTAAAAATTGCATTTGGTAATTACATTAACAACTGAATGTTTTTAAAAGAATGATATATTGGGGAAAATTCTTAGGGGAAATGCTGGAAACAATCTTGATTTCAAATAGCCTTAGTCTGAATTTAGAAATCATTGTATTAAATTCTGCAGCATTCACAAAAAATTTAGTTAATATATAAACATGACTTCTTTATTACATTGTCAATAGCGTGCAACAGAAATTATTTTAAAAAACTTATACAGGCTAACATATCCAATTTTAATTTTTATTCATTTTAACAATGAGCAAAACCATCATGTATCACTCACTGTCCTTTCCTAATTAAGCCCTTAAAGCTTCAGGTAATTTTTTAACCCAAATTTTCATTTGTATATGTTACCTGATATGGGTCTCAGTTATAGAAAATTTGTAGATTTCAAAACAATGTTTTTTACACCATTTTCGCAACTAAGAAAAACAAACCAAAGGGATGCCAACTGAATTTGAGAGTTAGAAACATTCCCCTACAGGAACCACTTCCTGCCTGCTTCTTAGGATCCAGGGTCGCCATGCTGAAAGGCCTCTACAGGGCAGGGGCCCGCATGGGCCAGTGAGTGCTCTGCAGCCGCACAGCGGGTAAGGACCCCCTCCCAGGCTCTCCATCTCAGAGATCTGATGCAGCACCACAAAGTCAGATGATGTTCTTGAGGTGACGCAAAAGACATGTGACTGACTTTTATAATTAGTAACATACTGCAGACACCAGTGCAATACAGAAAGACATGTTTACAACCCAGGGGCGGGGGGAGACCAGCTCTTGGTCTGTACAATAAAGAGAAGTTGCAGGAATATAAACTGTCACAAGAGAACAAAGCTAGGGAATACTGGACGTTTTAATTCTTAATTTCTTACACCAGCCATAATTTCAAATGTCACTGAGCGAAAGCTGGTTAATTCCATTTCACTTTCAGTTCTGGAACCGATTTGTTCTTCAAACTCAAATGACACTCTAACCAGCCTTGAAACAGGAAGCATGTTTGTGGACTACCAATATCCTCAGAGTTCCTGAATGACTCAACCACAGGGAAGAACATAATTTAAAGTGATATTCTACAAGGCACAAAGAACAGCCTGGAGACATTTGTTATGTTCTGATTTTAAACTGGCACAGCTTAAAGACAGAACACCCATCCTGCTGATATTAGCTACAGTTAGGGTCTTACCGTGTTCCTCTGTGATGGCAAACTACAAATCAAATTCATATTTTTGCCTTGACCACTATTCTATTTTGTTTCCAGTTACTTTGAGGTTTTGTTTTGTTGTTCAGCTAAGGGGGCTGTAACTTTTAGCCGCTACTTTATCAAGTAGATGCTACTTTATTAAATAGGCAGATGATACCTCTTTTGTGAGCTCTGCTTCAGGTCAACTAAAAGAATCCCCTGAAACAGCCAGTGCCAGCAATTTTTGTTTTGATTAGGCTGTTTTCTCTCAAGAATTATTCTGAGCCTGAATATGTCACTCTTCTTCAACGTACTTGAACAACTTATGCAACTTTTACAAACAATCCTTGTAACCACAAAGTTTAATGAATAAAAGTAAAAGCTAAAGGTGTTGGTGTTCAAAATCAGGAAATAAATGGTAATGTTATCACCATGTGACGGTAAATACATTACTAATTTGATAGGAAAACAAAACAAAGATGAACCGACAGTGACTGTCTAGTTTTAGTGAGATTAATGACAACTTCACTAACAACAGAAAAATAGCCAGTGGCTAAATCTAAAACCCCATAAAGAAAAGAGCCCATTAAAATAGCCCTCTCTCTTGAACTCAGTATCCTTTACCCCATTTAACCACCACTCAGTAGCTTGTAACAACTGGAAACTCACTCCAACTTATGGCTTGTATCAAAGTATACAACTAAATGTTTCTAAAAACCTTCTTACATGAAGTGTTTTAAGAATTTGCACGTCATAAAAGTTTTAATGATTCTTCATAGAGAAGGTAGAAAGTCCTCAATAGCCTCAAATATTCAGTGGATTCATAAAGTTAGCACAGAGTTGGCCCTGAGGAGCTGCTAGGACCAATGTTTATGAACAGGTAAGGGGCAAAAAGAGCGGCATCTCCATCTCCGGCCCTTGTTGAAAACCCAGTTTCCTACAGGTAACCTGACGACCAGGGGAAGCAGTCAGCCCCACCATCAGTTGATGGGGACAGTCTCTGCCCTCAAAGGGCTGTCATACTGACCTAAATCAACAGCCCATGCAGTTGGCAAAGAAGTGCCTTTCCTTATTGTTCTCTCTTCTTAGAGAACCTCCTTGTCTGTCCGGAAACCTTTTATGTCCCAGGTGATTCCGCATCTGAACCCTTCTGCCTGCCCCACAGTCCTATCTGTGCACTCTGTTCTTGGACCTGAACTCTCTCCTATCCCTTCTCACATCATTCCTTCTTTGTTGTGTGGTGCCTCCCTGAGGACACCGTCATCTCTGACTCCCCACAGCCTAGGACACTGTCTGGCACACAACAGCAACTTGATAAATCTCATCAATGAAAGCCACGTCCTCTTCAACAGATGCTGGACACATAAGGAGAAATGCTGACTCTTTTTGGAAAAATTAAGGAAATTCAGGAGGACTGATTAGTAAAAACAAAACAAGACAACAAAACTCACACAAAACACCTTAGTAGGAAGGAAAAGCAGACATTCTGTCTGGTGCCCAGCACACAGTCACCCTAGAAACAGAGTATTTCATTTCTCCTACAATTCCAATTGTTGATGGTAAATCCTTAAAGGATGGGGCAGTCCTAATATGCTCATACCCTCTCCCCCAATGCACTCATCCCAGGAAATTATTATGGTAATAGTTGCTTCAGTCACTTAGATGAGAAGTGGTTCACTAAGTGAATTATTCTTGCAGTAGGAGCTTACCTTTCTTTAAGCTTACAAATGCTACAGAAGTCTTTCTAAAAATATTTTATTCAGAAAGGACACAATTCATAGGGCTATAATTCCTTTATCAATGAGCACAGATGGTTCTATTTGAGTCACCATGTCTTCTTCATCTTACTTTTCTTTAATAACAATGATGGTGGGCATCTGTCAAACCCTCTCTGCTGACATGGGATCCTGTAGCGGCCCAATGAAGTGGGCATTATTATCCTCATTTTACAGAGGGAGACACCAGGGTGGAGAGCGGGCAAGGGGATTTGCTTTAAGGTCATCTCACATGCTAGCTGAGTGGCAGCCTAGAGTCAAATTTATAACACCGCCCACAATGGAAACTTGTTATAATAAAAGTCATATGCATGGAATAAAAGGCAAGGTATGAAATGTTCTGTAAATGGCCCAGAACCACCCTAATTGAGCTGTTAAAGGACAAAGCTTAACTTTGCACTTGGCCTTCTTTGTATTTGTCTTTCATAAATCTTAGCAATAGCATAAAGAATTGGCATAATTAGTGCTGGTAAGATTTCTAAGTTCCCCTTAAGGCAAAACATTTCTACAACATTACCATATTTCTTTCTGCCAGGCCATAAGAAGCTACAAAAATGAAAATGCAAAAACAAACAGAAGCTTCTTTCTTCACATTCCAGCAAAAAGCTAAACAAATAAAAGCAAAAATAACACCATGATCCACACTTACAATGACAGCCGAATGGACTTCTCCCCTTTTACTTCTTTGCCCACGTCCCCCCCACACCCCCAAGATCTGATTTTATTTTACTTAACACTTTTAGGAGGTTGAAAGATTTCAGACTTTGAAATTAAATTTGTCTCCATTCAAACAGTGGTTGTGATGTTACTGCCACTTTTAAAATAACTATCTTAAGTTTATACAGTGGCTTTTCTTCCAAGGATAAAGATTTTATATAGTGTCATCCAATTTCGGACGTGATATTTCTACTAAGGGAGAGGATTTCCGGTGTTTTCATGGAGTTGAGAGTGAGAAAATAAATTAAGAAAGGCGTCAAAGTCACATAGAGAGAGTTAAATTTAACATCGGAAAACAAGTCACCCAACCGTGGAGCCAGTCTTCTGCCCAAATGCCACCTACCAGAAGAGAGTACAACGTTAAGTCCCCACAGGAAAGCACCACGTGAAGAAAAGGATTCAACACAATAGAAACCAAGTGCTATGACTGTAAAATATTCGGCAGTTGGTACTATTATTAAAATAGTAAAATGATGGTATGACATTAAAAATGCTCATCAGGCCCGAGGACATGAAGTCTCCATCCTGTAAGACCTGCCTCTTTCATGCCAAGCTGGACATGCCTCCACTCCAGCAAATAAAGGCCAGCCAGGGTCTCCCCGTCCCGGACACACACGGCACAAAGAGGGAGCCTTGCACTTCACTGGACAAACACAGGAGTACCACGAACTGCATGAGGCAGGGAGAATCTGAGGTGACTGACTTCAAAGGAGAAACAGGGAGGGAAGTGAGTGTGTGTGCCTCAGAGAGCCCGTCAGAACGGGCAGGCGGCTGCATTTTCTCGAAGTATATACCCTTAGGAAAGACTTTCACAGGAAGGGGTTTGTTCCCTCCCTAATAGATTAAGAACTCTTTTATGCTGTTTACTATGCTTCGGTACTATTCTGGGGCTTTTTTTTTTTTTTTAAAGATTTTATTTATTTATTTGAAGAGACACAGCAAGAGAGGGAACACAAGCAGAGGGAGTGGGAGAGGGAGAAGCAGGTTCCCCACTGAGCAGGGAGCCCGAAGCGGAGCTCAATCC